ATTGGACAGTAATTCCCACTTTTTCTGAAACCTGAAGCCACCTCTTCTTGGATCTCGGAATTCAAAATGGCTTCGGATGCCTATTTCCAATCTCTAGACGTCACTCGATCCCAAAAACACCCATTTTTTAGATAATTGACAGTATTCCCAATTTTTCTTAAACCAGAAGCCGCCATCTTTAATTTCAAAATCTTATCGGATATTGATTAGCGGCCTTTAGTCATTACCCCGATTCTAAAAATACCCATATTTATGGATATTTGACACTTTTTCTGCAACAGGAATCCTCCACCTTGGATTTCAAAAGAGCGTCGGATATCGATTTCCAGTTGATTGTAGATTGTAAATTGTAGTAGAGTTGGAAACTTGATCATGTAAACACTACGCATCATTGTCTGGTAGTTCGTTAAAAAATGCTACACCAATCGTCAAGCTCGCTGTAACGTCACCTAGTGCCTCGTCATTCACGAATTGGCTCCTATTTCAGTAGTCTAATAACTCTTAGCGTGCTGATGGCATGGTTCCAATGCCGCATAGAGAGTTGCTACAATGATATTAGGTTAGCTAAGGTCAGTTAACTGACTGGTGGGGAACGGGAGCTTTAGTAATGACTATTATGTATGCATTTCTATAACGTTATCTAACAACAATGGTGTGTACTGTTTACAAAATCATGTTTTTAATTCTTATGTGTTGTATGGTTGAAAGCAATTGAAAAAGTTAGATTCTAATGTTTTGCACATTTGAAAACATCCGAAAACAATAAGTTCTTAGTACAATTGAAAACACCCGAAAATCATTTTGTTTTAATGTCTTGTATATTTGACAACATCAGTAAGCATCTCCATTTGAAAACACCTGAAGAACGTTTTGTACATCTAAAATCATCTTAGAAGCGTTTGGTTCTGATGACAAACGATTAAAATTCTCGACGTCAGAACAACATTTGAATAGCAAAATTTTATTTCACTTACCTTGTTTAAATACATCTAAATCGCAATGTTTTTTAATGTTTGATGCCAGGAATATATTTTATTTCGATGCTGATGTAGACATCAAACGTTAGGCTAATGTAAATTTTTATTAGGGTTCCCCGGGACACCCGGAATATGTCCGGATGTGACCAAAGTGGTTCTTGGAACTAGATTTGAGTTCCATTGAACCAGAAATTGAATTCTGATGTATTTTGATGTGTTACATGATGGGTTCGACCCTAATCAGATGTTGGCCTCTTCCCCCGGGACACCCGGAATATGTCCAGATGTGGCCAAAGTGGTTCTTGGAACTAGATTTGAGTTCCATTGAACCATTCGTTGAATTCTCATGTAATTCGATGTGTCGCATGATTGGTTTGACCCTAATCCGATATTGGCTGCATCCCCCGGGACACCCGGAATGTGTCTCGATGTGGCCAAAGTGGTTCTTGGAACTAGATTTGAGTTCCATTGAATTAGTAATTAAATTCTCATGTAATTTGATTTGTCACATGATGCGGTTGACTTAGCCTGTAAGATATTATTGTTAGGTTGTTTTATTAAAAAAAAAAAAACATGTATGTTAGTTATAAGAATAAGACAAATAAAGATTATTGATGAAGTCATGTTCATGCTTCAACTGTTTTTATTTTTATTAATTTAAAACCCATTGAAAAAGAAAATGGTGGTGAACAACCGTGAGCGCGCCGGGGCGCCTGGGGGCGGACAAAATGGCCGAAACGATCAGTTTTTTGACAGGTATCGTTTTCGCCTCAGGCGCCCAAATGTTGCAAATATGGTCACCCCCAGCGCGCCGGCGACCAAATTTGGACCAAGTGGCGCCGCGAGGTTCGAGTCGCCTAAGTCCGCCCCGTCCACTGAGTGGTCCGGGGGCGAGCCGTGGGCGACTAGCCCGCTTTATGTGGGATCAGGCAGAGAAATTCGATTAAACGTGAAAAAAAATCATTAGCACACGAAAAGAAAAAAGTACCCAAGTTCACTTTTAACTAGTTTTGACTAGTTTATCTTCTTTTTGTTATGTCAAGGCGGACTGACAGAACGCAAGAGAACCGTGATCATGGTGGGTATACAAATGGTGATACAGCTTTGTCACTATATAGGCGAGGAGGTCGCGGGGGGAAAAGTGCGGTTTTAGAGCAAATTGTAAACAAACTCGGTCACTGTCCCATACAAAAATCCAACATGGCTGAATCATGAATTTGACACTATATGTAGTCACCTTGACCGTGATTTTATTGGAAGATTGCCGCAAAAGCTCAACGCAGATGTCACCACTGCATGATGATGATAATGTTGGCAGACTGCATATAAAATTCGTGAAAATTAGCATTAAATCATAATGTTCATCAAGCCTGCGTGAAATCCTTCCAATATAACATTCGAATTGAAGAAGAAAACGTTTTTACGATCAAACTGATGTGCAGCTTTGACTTTTCCAGGTGAACTTTCATAAGAAATATTCATTTCATTTCATGGCTCCATCAATGCTGCATCGTAAATATGATGGTAAACAGAAGTAAATTGCTCAATTACTCAAAATAAAGATGATTTGTCATCTTGTTATCACTTTGAAGACCATCTAGCACCATTTTATAGTATGGTGCGTGTTGAGTAAATCAAGTTCCGGTGCGTTTTCTGTCGAAAATTGTGAGTATCAATATGTTTGCTTAAAAAAGGCCAAAATGAACATTTATTGAATATTGGCGTCCTATACAACCAATTCTCTATTACCACCAGCATGATACAACCTTTCCTAAGTAAATTCACTTAATTTCCACTTTCATTCTAGTGGAAATCGCACATATTCACCATTTTCCGAAAAATGCAGCTGCGCAGGAAGTAACCTCTACCTGTGGGTGCAAACTTGTTATGCATAATTTTCCATGAAAACATCTCCGATCCATACTGAAATAATAACAGTTTGATTGCAAACACGTTTTCTTACACGATTCAAGCAAAATTTTCCACGGGAAATTATTAGTTTATCCTTATGGACCGATTTGCCTAAAAAATCGTCTGTTTTACTTGGAGAATTTGGAAACTATCCTCCTTCTAGTAGTTCTCACTTCGAAATGTAGGTGGCGAAAGCTTGGAAAAGTTTCACTGCAAGACGCCAATAGGGCAGCTATAAATGAACACTCGATGTTTGCTGTTTGGTCGTCGACTATCAACTGAACCGGCGCTTCATCTGTATTTTCGTTTTATTCGTTACATTTATCTTTTGACCGTTTTGACCGTCGTCAACCGTGTTCGATGCGAAAGGTTGGCAATCCTTGTTTCGCCTTGCGAAACCACGTAAAGTGGAACTACTACTTATCCCTTTAGATAAAACTGGACTAACTGCAAATTCCAAAGATTATATAATACAATTCAACAAACTTCAATTCAATAAACCATTTATCTTTCGACAATCCGAAAACTACTGTATACTAAGCATATTCATAAATATCATCATACCCGTTCGCTTTTTTGCTCTTCTCGATGATTCTACTGGTGGTGGTTCATTTTGGCTGTCTAACACTGCTCTACCAGAACCGTTATTGGGCATCTCTTCGCTTTTTTTTTTTAACTCTTTATTTGTTCCAAATTCAAAATAAATTACATTTCATTTTTAACCTAGGTGCTCCAGTTACTGCAGTAACGTATTGTTATGATTTATATCTAAGTGTTTTTACATTGTTCATGTCTTGGCAATTAAGTATTTTAAACAGGTTTTTAACCTGCATGTCAGTATAACAATTGATATCTTAAAACTAAAAACTAAAACTAAATCTTATCTAAGTATAAAGGGAATTAATCGTTGCAATTGAGGATTGCAACGATTTTTGCCTGAAATTATTCATTATTTTGTTGGACATTTGTTCTAAAGTCTCAACATTCGAAATTTTATGTACCTCAGTAGTACTGTACCAGGGAGGCAACTTCAAAATCATTTTCAAAACTTTGTTCTGAATCCTTTGAAGTGCTTTTTTCCTGGTAGTGCACACGCTAAGATCAGATTACTCAAATATAGGTTTACTTTACCCAAATCAGACGTAAACTGCACGAACTCAGATATAGGTAAATTTTTTAACACAAATATGGGTAAATTTAAATCAAATTTGCATAAAAATAAATCATTTATGGTTCACAAGAACCCATAATTGGGTTAAAAAAATTTACCCATATGTGAGTTTGTGCAATTTACGGCCAATCTCGGTAATCTCTTTGTACCGTCTAGGTAAACTGATCTTAGCGTACAACAACAAGACCACATAGACGAGTGCACGGATGGATTTGAGTTCACTCACTCGACAAAAAGTGACACAACAGCGGGGCCCTGTTTACTAAAAATGAACACATGAATAATACTCACGTAACATTTGAAACCGGCCTATCAACTTTCGTACACAAAACTTGTTAAGCCTTTTTCGCGCGAACCGAATACGACCACGCAAACTAACATCACCATCGGGTAGGGGAAATTCCCCTCTTTCCGACAGTGCTCTTGGTTTGCGTGGACGTACTTCGGTTCTCGTGGAAAGGACCTAGCAAATTATTTACAAAAAATTGATATGCCCTTTTCAAATGTTACGTGAACATTATTCATGTGTTCATTTTTAGTAAACAGGGCCCCGCTGTTGTGTCACTTCCCACACGAATTGCCGGCGAAAAAGTGACGTCATTTGACATTGAGCGACTTGAAGACTGATCGTTCGCCCTTTGTCCGGGATGCGGACGAAGGGCGACTCGCCCCGCTAGAGTAATTTCATCCGCCGGGCTACCAAATGGCGCTCCGGGATGCGGACGAAGGGCGACTCGCCCGCTAGAGTAATTTCATCCGCCGGGCTACCAAATGGCGCTCCGAGATGCGGACGAAGGGCTACTCGCCCCGCTAGAGTAATTTCATGCGCCGGGCTACCAAATGGCGGATGAAACTTAGCCATTTTTTTGCGATTTTTTTTGCGTCGGCTGACTAAGCGGTCAGCCATGTTTTCATTTCGTTCGTTTCAGGTGCTGGTTTTTTTTTATCCGGGTCGCAAAATTGGCCTCAGATGGCCATCTTCCGGATTGGTCCGATGGTCCGACGATACATCTTGCCAGTTCATACTCAAGGTAAGTAAAATGCTTTAAATTAACAAAACAATCAAAACAATGTTGTTAATTTTTGTACCTCATTTTTTTTTTCAGCCGGCGGATTATCTGGTCCGCAAAATTGGCCTCCGATGGTCATCTTTGGGGTCGAATAGTCTTCCGACGGGACCACCGAAGGGAAGAGCAATCTTTCTACTTCATACTCAAGGTAAGTAAATTGCTTTTAAATGAAATAAAAACCAAAACAATGTTAATTTTTGTAAATATTTTTTTTCAGCCGGCTGCTTGCTCCGATTATCCGGGCTGCAAAATTGGTCTCCGATGGCCATCTTTGGGATCAAAATGGTCTTCCGACAGGACCAACGAAAGGAAGAGACATCTTTCTGCTTCATACTCAAGGTAAGTAAATTGCTTTTTAAATGAAATAAAAACCAAAACAATGATAATTTTTGTAAATAATTTTTTTCAGCCGGCTGCTTGCTCCGATTATCCGGGCTGCGAAATTGGTCTCCAGTGACCATCTACGGGATTGAATGGTCTTCCGACGGGACCAACGAAGGGAACAGACATCTTTCCAGTTCATACTCAAGGTAAGTAAATTGCTTTTAAATAAAAAAATTAAAGTCCTCTCCAGTGGATCAATTTTGAAGTAATTAGTTCCCAAAATTGAGCCGCTGGAGGAATCCGCTGATGCAACGCATGCCGATGCCGGATCCCGATGTCTATGTTTAAGGTAAAGTAAGGTTTTATTAAAAATAAGTAAAAGTTAAAGTTATTTTTAAGTTAAATTAAATTAAGTATGCAAAAACTAAATTTAAGTTAAAGTTAAGTAAAAGTTCGGCTTGAGTTGAAATTTAGTTAAAGTTTAGTTAAAGTTAAAGTTCATTTAAGTTATGTTAACGTTATGTTAAAGTTATGAAAAAGTTATCTTAAAGATAAGTTAAATTTAAAGTTAAGTAAGAGTAAAAGTTAAGTTAGAGTAAAAGTTAAGTTTAAGTTATGTTTGTTCAAGTAAAGTTAAGTTAAAGTTATGTTCAAAGTAAAGTTATGTGAAAGCGAAGGTAAAATTAAGTTAAAGTTAGGTTAAAATTAAGTTAGAGTTATGTTTATGGTTAAGGTAAATTAAGGTTCAGTTAATGTTAGGTTAAAGTTATGTTAAATTTAAGTTAAAATTACGTTAAGGTTATGTTAAAGTTTAGTTAAAGTTATGTTAGAGTTAAAGTTAAGTTAAAGTTATGTTAAATTTAAGTTAAAATTTAAAGTTAAGTTAAAGTTAAGTAAATGTTAGGTTAAAGTTATGCTAAAATTAAGTTACAATTATATTAATTTTATGTTGAAGTTTAGTTAAAGTTAAGTTAAGTTAAAGTTAAGTTAAAGTTAAGTTAAAGTTATGTTAAAGGTAAGTTAAAGTAATTTTCAAGTTAAAGTTATGTTAAACTTAAGTTAAAGTTATGTTATATGTAAGTTAAAGTTTTCTTAAAGTTAAAGTAATGTCAAAAAATAAATTAAATTTTTGTTAAATTTGGTTACATTTAAGTTAAAGTTTTGCTAAAATTATGTTCAAGTAAGGTTACAGTTAAGTTTTAGTTATTTTAAAGTTAAAGGTTTAAGTTATTTTTAAGTTAAAGTTAAGTTTAGGTCATTTTAAAGTTAAAGTTAAGTTTAAGTTATTTTAAAGTTTAAGTTAAGTTACAGTTATGTTGAAGGTAAGTTAAAGTTAAGTTAAAGTTAAGTTAAAGTTATGTTAAAGGTAAGTTAAAGTAATTTTCAAGTTAAAGTTATGTTAAACTTAAGTTAAAGTTGTGTTATTGGTAAGTTAAAGCTATCCTAAAGTTAAAGTTATGCTAAAAATAACTTAAATTTATGTTAAATTTGGTAAAATTTATGTTAAAGTTTTGCTTAAGTTAGGTTCAAGTAAAGTTAAAGTTAACTTAAAGTTATTTTAAAGTTAAAGTTAAGTTTAAGTTATTTTAAATTTAAAGTTAAGTTCAAGTTATTTTAAAGTTAAAGGTAAGTTTAATTAATGTTAAAGGTAAGTTAAAGTTATGTTAAAGTTGTGTTAAAGTTAAGTTAAAGTAATTTTATAGTTAAAGTTATGTTAAACTTAAGTTAAAGTTATGGTATAGGTAAGTTAAAGTTAAGCTAAAAATAAATTAAATTTATGTTATATTTGGTTAAGTTTAAGTTAAAGTTTTGCTAATATTATGTTAAAGTTTAAGTTAACTGAAAGTTAAGTTTAAGTTAACGTTAAGTTCAATTTAATTTAAAGTTAAAGTTAAGTTTAAGTTATTTTAAAGTTAAATTTGTGTTAAAGTTAAGTTTAAGTTATTTTAAAGTTAAAGTTATGTTAAACTTAAGTTAAAGTTCTGGTATAGGTAATTTAAAGTTAAGTTAAAGTTAAATTAACGTTAATTTAAAGTTATGTTAGAGTTTAGTTAATGTTATATTATGTTATGTTAAAGTATAAATTAACTTAAAGTTAAGTTTAAGTTAAAGTTAAAGTTAAAATCATTTTAAAATTAAAGTTATATTCAAGGTACAGTTATGGGATCGCTTAGTTAAAATTAAGTTAAAGTTATGTCAAAATTAAATTAGAGTTATGTTTCTGCTAAGTTAAGTTGAAGTTCAGTTAATGTTAGGATACAGTTATGTTGAATTTAAGTTAAAATTACGTTAAGGTTATGTTAAAGTTATGTTAAAGATAAGTTAAGTTAATATTAGGTTATAGTTAAGTTCAAGTTATGTTAATGTTAAAGTTATTTTAAATTTAAGATAAAATTTAAAGTTAAGTTAATGTTAGGTTAAAGTTATGTTAAGTTTGAGTTAAAATTAATTTGAGGTTGTGTTAAAGTTTAGTTCAAGTTAAGTTAAAGTTATTATAAAGTTAAAGTTAAGTTTAAGATCTATTTAATTAATGTTAGGTTACAGTTAAGTTCAAGCTATGTTAATGTTAAAGATATTTTAAATTTTAGATATAATTTAAAGTTAATTACAGTTAAGTTAATCTTAGGTTAAATTTATGGTAAATTTTAGTTAAAATTAATTTAAGGTTATATTAAAGTTTAGTTCAAGTTAGTTTAAAGTTATGTTAAAGTTAGGTTAAAGTTATTATAAAATTAAAGTTAAGTTAAAGATATGTTAAGTTAATGTTAGATTAAAGTTGAGTTAATGATATGTTAAATTTAAGTTTAAATTTATTTAAGGTTGTGTTGAAGTTAAGTTAAAATTAGGTTAAAGTAATGTTTAAGTAAACAAATAAGTTAATGTTTTGTTAAAGTTAAGTGTAAGTTAAGTTATAGTTACGTTAGAGTGAAGCTAAAATTAAAATAATTTTATAATTAAAGTAATGTTCAAGGTAAAGCTATGTGAAAGCTCAGTTAAAATTAAGTTAAAGTTATGTCAAAATTATGTGAGAGTTATATTAATGCTTAAGCTAAGTTAAGTTAATGTTAGGTTAAAGTTATGTTAAAGTTAAGTTAACATTAAATTAATGTTATGTTAAAGTTAAGTTAAAGTTAAGGTTAAGTTAAGTTAAAGTTATGTTAAAGTGAAGTTAAAGTTAAGTTAAAGTTAAGTTAAAGTTAAGTTAAAGTTAAGTTAAAGTTGAGTTAAGGTTAAGTTAAAGTTACGTTAAAGTTAAGTTAAAGTTAAGTTAAAGTTAAGTTAAAGTTAATTTAAAGTTAAGTTAAAGTTAAGTTAAAGTTAAGTTAAAGTTAAGTTAAAGTTAAGTTAAAGTTAAGTTAAAGTTAAGTTAAAGTTAAGTTAAAGTTAAGTTAAAGTTAAGTTAAAGTTAAGTTAAAGTTAAGTTAAAGTTAAGTTAAAGTTAAGTTAAAGTTAAGTTAAAGTTAAGTTAAAGTTAAGTTAAAGTTAAGTTAAAGTTAAGTTAAAGTTAAGTAATAGTTAAGTTATAGTTAAGTTATAGTTAAGTTAACGCTTAGTTAAAGTTAAGTTAAAGCTAGGTTAAAGTTAAGCTAAAGTTAATGTTAAGTTAACGTATTTTAAAGCTATATTGAAGATAAGTTAAAGTTATGTTATGTTATGCTCAAGTTATGTTTAAGTTAAGCTAAAGTTAAAGTAATGTTCAAGGTCAAGTTATGTGAAAGCTAAGTTAAAATTAAGTTAAAGTTATGTTCAAATTAAGTTAGAGTTATGTTAATGCTTAAGTTAAGTTAAAGTTCAGTTTGACGATCTTCGAATTTCCCTGAAGTTCTGTGTATTCCCAGAAATTCTGAGAATTTCTCTGAAGATCTTCGAAGTACCCTGAAGCACTAAAAATTTCTCTGAAAGTCTACAAAACTTCCTGAATTTCTGTAATTTTTTCTGAAGCTATAAAAATTTATCTGAAGATCTCCTTTAAGTTCTGCAAATTTCTCTGAGGATCAACAAACTTCCCTGAAATTCAGTATTTTTCCCTGAAGTTCTGCCAATTTGCCTAAAGCTCTGTGAACTGCCCTGAAGTACTGAAAATAACTCTTAAGATGTACGAGGATCTTTAAATTTATGTGATATTCCCTGAAGTTCTGTGAGTTTATCTAAGTTCTGCGAACTTCTCTGAAATTCTGTTCTATTAATTTCCCTAAGGAACTAAAAAATTATCTTAAATTTACGAACATCACTGTGGTTCTGTTAATTTCTCTGAAGATCTTCAAACTTCCCTGAAGATCTGTGAACATCCCTAAAGTACTGATTATTTCTCTAAACGACGACAAACATTGCTGTAGTTCTGTAAATTCCTCAGAAGTTCTACGAACTTCCCTGATTTTCTTTTGATTTATCTAAAGATTTCAGAACTTACCTGAAGATTTTTGAACTTCCCTGAAGTTTTTTTTAACTTACCTGAAGTTTTTTAAAACTTCCTTGAAGTTTTTTAAGCTTCCCTGAAGTTTTTTAAACTTCCATGAAGTTTTTTTTTTTTAATTTCCCTAAAGTTCTGCTAATTTCTCTGAAGATCTACGACCTTCGGTGTAGTACACAGCAAAAAAATGTAATATCGATCAATGTAATTCGAGCTGAAGTATGAAATAATGATGTAATAGCAAAAAACAGATACAATATTACATCAATGGATGTAATTCAGTTCGCAAAATCGATGTACATCGTACAACGTTATATTACACAACCGATGGATTGACCTGGTTGCAGCAGTTTGGATGTAATATTCAACAACTTTTTTTTCTGTGTAACATCTTCAAAACAATTTCAGATTATTCTGCGTTCTGAAGCAATTTTTAAACGACTTCAATTCGATTTTTGATCAGATGTTGGTCCTCAGAATAATTCCTGACCTCTTCGAAGAATATCTCAAGATTTTAATATCTAATCCTTATCCACCTGACCACTTC